CCGCTAGCTCGTTTGTTGGAGGCTGAATTATTAGTAGAAAATCTTCATTCCCTTAAAAATCTAGTTCACTGTAGCCATGTGGAACCTTGTCCTGAAGGCCCGTGGCTTCTTCTGCCTGGATGGGAGGAGCAGAGCGAAAATTAACAAGAAAGAAGGCGGAGCTAAGAGCCAGAGAAAAACTGGGCCTTGTTTTTTTTTTTTTTTTAAAAAAGGGTAAAAAGGAAATATTACCAAAAAAATAAAAAAAAAAGGAAGACAGAAGCAGGGAGAGACAGGAACTGAGAGACAGAGAGAGAAGGCTGGGGGTGCAGAGGGGGGCTCCCTACCGCTAGCTCGTTTGTTGGAGGCTGAATTATTAGTAGAAAATCTTCATTCCCTTAAAAATCTAGTTCACTGTAGCCATGTGGAACCTTGTCCTCTAGATCACCTACTTTTGAACTTTATCTACCAGCAAAATTTCAAACAATTCTTGGAAACTAACAACTTTTGATTTGCCAAGTAAGAATGTTTATTTGCCACGTAAGCACACCTGACATCCAGTATCACAATCATTTCATATGAGGCCATTAGCTTTTTCACCACGCCTATGTTTCCTATTGCTCCTAGATACAATTATTACAAGCTTTGTGGTTTAAAATATCACAAATTTAGCATCTTATACCTATGGATGTCAGAAGCCCCAAAGAGGGGTTCACTGGGTTCAAATCAAGGTGTCAGTAGGATTTTGGAAATTCTGTGGGATATTACATTTTCTGATCCTTTCCAGTTTCTAGAGAATACTTGCAGTCCTTAGCTCATAGTCACTTCCTCATATTCAAAGCCAGAAATCCCATCACTCAGCCTTCTGCTTCTAGCATCACATCTCTAACTCTCCTGATTCCCTCTTTCGTCTTTTAAGGACCCTTGTGGTTCCATGAGGTGTCTCTCCCCAACCTCCAACATTACTTTTCTAGTATTTTCTTCTGGGAAAACAAACAAACAAACATAAAACACCTCTGACAGAGTTTTTAGAGGCAGCTGGATGCATTGTCAACCCTCACCTCTTCCCATTTTCCTACCTATCCATACTTCATCACCCAATTTCAACATTAAGTTAACCCATATCCTTTCCAACTAAATCATTATATTCTGAAGTGAAGTTAATAGAAATAGATGTTAGAAAGACACCAATTTGAGGGCCAACTTGGGTGAAAGAATGAATTAGGTGAGTTAGTCTTTCTATATCCACTACCTCTTTTTATCACAGTTAACCAGAGTTGTTATCATGAAAACATGAGGTACAACTAATTTATACTAAAGCTTAAGATTCTTAAATATTAATAATCCCAAGGTTTTTTTTCTTCTTGGAATTGTTTACTCAGCTATCCTTTATTGTGGGATTTACTGCCTGGTTAAGTATAGGTCAGTACTTTGGATAAAATGTGGTTTTCAAGGCTAGCAGCTAGCACTGTGGTTGAGGTGCTGGACTCCCACATGGCCAATCAGAGTTCAAGTCCTGGAACTGGAGGCTGGCTTTCTCATTCCTCCACCCCTCTGTCTCTCTCTGGTCAAATTAAAATAATAATAATAGTAAAATAAAGTTAAACACATAATTATTTTATATTTTATATATATATATTTACAAGATTTTTTTAAAGTCTGAAATATTCTTTCTTTTTTAACTTTATGTATGTATGTATGTATTTAATTAGTTATTTTAATTTGACCAGAGAGGGATAGAGTGAGAGAGAGAGAAAGTGAAAAAGCAAGCCGCCAGGTCTGGGACTCAAAACACAGTTGACCATGTGGGAATCCAACACCCTTCACCACCATGCCATCTGGTGGCCCCAAACACATAATTTTTTTTTTGAGAGATTTTTGCTATAGGGCACGTGCGCTCCCTAGAAAGACAGAAAGAGACAGAGAGACAGAAAGCAATAAATCAACCCCCAGAGGGGATGGCCATGCTGCAATCCCTTCTCCTCTGGGGATCTTGAGCATGCATGTACACGCAGCATAAGTTTAAGCCACTCAGCCCAGGACTCAAACCATGGTTGACTACATGGGAGTTCAGTGACATAGCCATTATGCTAACTGCTGGTCCTGAGCACATAATTCTTTTAAAAAATAAATAAAATATATACTTTTTTAAAATGTCATTTTCTAGAAGACAATTTATATAAGAAATTCTTCATGGAACCAGAGGCTTGCTAGGTCTGGCCACAAGCACAGTGGTAAAGTGCTGTATAGAGGAAGCCAGATCCCACATAGCCAACTGCAATTGATATCCCAGCCCCAGAGGCTTGAAAAATACCCTGGGGGCATGTGTATGTGGGCTCAGGATCCTGATGGGATGGAGAAATGGAGGAAAGGAGATTCCAGTATGATCATATCCAGCTGGGAGTTTCTCTCTCTCACTTTCTCTCTCCTCTCTCTCTCTCTCTCTCATGTGCACACCCTATGGTATAAAAACAAAACAAAACAAAAATAATAAATAAAGTAAAACAAAACAAAAGAAGTAGAGTCTACCCTTTCTCCCACTAATTACTTCACTGTATTTTTCTGCATGGTTGAGAAGAGCAAGGACAGATTGACCATCTCTCCGAAGGCCTTTCTGCTGTGAAAGATTAAGAATGGAGTAAGATGGCCCCTCTCTCCAAGGGCGCCAACATAGCTGATAAAATAGTCAACAGCCATGGAAGGAGCCTGTGGGGTCCACCATATCAGAGTTCAGGATCTCCCAGGGCATCCCTCGTGAATGTGACCCGGAGGGGGGGATCTTTGAGCACTTAGGAATTCCAGTTTACCCATCCTTCCCAGCTTTATACATATCCTACTGTTCCCTAACATATACCCTGTGCTCCACTCAGTGCCCCTTCCTCACTACATGCTCTCTGAACTTGCTCTTACCTTTCCTACTTCCATGCTTTCTTTGCTCGGTTAGTTTCTTCCACATAAAGCATCATAATTCTTTCTCTTTACCAGCTCTAAGTCCACCCTCTCTCAAAGACATACCAAGTAACTGCAGGATACAAGGAAGTCTTTCCTTCACCCTGCCTCTTAAAATCTATTACCTGTACTGTTATTTTTGTTTGTTTGTTTGCCTTATGATTGTGCTGGTCTTTTTTATTGCTATTTTATATTCCACATTTTCTCATGAGTCCTTGTTCACATGAGTCTTTAAATAGAGACTAAAGCAAAAGAAAGTGCTTTGCCTATAATAAGTGATCAAAAATGTTGCATTGAGGGACCAGCAGTTAGCGTAATGGCTATGTCGCTGGACTCCCATGTAGTCAACCGTGGTTCGAGTCCTGGACCCAGTGGCTTAAACTCACGCCAGGCACGTATGTGTGTGTGTGTGCCCAAGATCCCGAGAAGAGAATGTAGGAGAAGGGATTGTGGCATGGCCATCCCCCCAGGGGGTGATTTCTCGCTTTCTGTCTCTCTGTCTCTCTCTCTCTTTCTGGCGAGCGCACGTGCCCTATCGCAAAAAAGAAAAGAAAAGAAAAGAAAGGAAGGAAGGAAGGAAGGAAGGAAGGAAGGAAGGAAGGAAGGAAGGAAGGAAAAAATTGTTGCATTGATGGGTTGGGTTGGAGACTTAGTATTGGATAATCCCAGTCCCATCATCCTAGTGGCCAGACTGTGTGGACAGTCATAGCCGAGCAGCTAGATGACATCCTGGTTTATGGAACAAAAAAACAGCAACAAAATAATCAAAATCATATATCTCCCACGAGTTTCTTCATTCTTTTACTCAAAGTCATTTTTATGTATCTTATGATTGTTCTCTTTCTACTTATTCTTATAAATTGAGCTGCTTACTGTTGTAACTTGCCATAAGCTTCTCCAAAAGTCAGTGAGTAAAACAAACACAGAAATTAGAGTAGGAGTGTGGGGGTGCTCCAGAGACTCTAAAATGAATGACGGAACAATCACCATACCGCAATCCATTCTCTTCTTGGGATCTTGGGCACGCATGCACACGTGCCTGGCGTGAGTTTAAGCCACTTGGTCCAGGACTCGAACTGCGGTTGGCTACGTGGGAGTTCCGCAACATAGCCATTATGCTAACTGCTGGTCCCTTCCCTTTCTCTTTTTGAAAGAGATTTTTGCTATTGGGTGCAGGTGCTCAACAGAGAGACAGAGAGAGACAAAGAGACAGAGAGAGACAAGGAGACAGAAAGCAAGAAGTCACCCACCAGGGGGATTGCCATGCTGCAATCCCTTCTCCTCTCAGAAGTTTGGGCACATCAGCACCCCAGCATGAGTTTTAAGCTGCCTGGTCTGGGACTCAAACTGTGGTTGACTATGTGGTTGTAGTAACCATTACACCACCTGCTGGTCCCATGATTGTTCCCTTTCTACTTATTCTTATAAATTGAGCTGTTCATGCTATTTCTTACCACAAACTTCTCCAGAAGTCAGTGAGTAAAATAAACACAGAAATTAGAGTAGGAGTGTGGGGGTGCTCCAGAGACTCTAAAATGAATGACGGAACAATCCTAACTTCCAATCAGAAGTTGGAGAGCAATGAGATCATTCTCCTTTTGAAACAGGGTTTCTTCTTCTCAATTTTGCATTTTCACTAGGAAACATAATGAGACTGGAGCATAGGAAATCACTACAAAAAAGAATGTAGTGAACATGGCAGAATAAGAAACTCTCCTGGGAGGCATTGGTCATGAACTTGGGCTCTGAAGTCAGACAGACTTGAATTTCAAACCCTCTCTCTTCTTCCTTCTAGCTTTGAAAACTTGAACATACTCTCTAGCTACCCTAGAACCCAATATCTCATGTGTGGACTGAGAGTAAATAATAGCAGAAACCTTGTAGAGTTATTGTGAGGATTAAATGAAATATGATCAAGAGGAAGAAGAGAAAGGAGGCAAAAAAGGGAGGGAATGAAGGAGGAAGAGAGGGAGGAAAAGAAAGAGAAGGAAATAGAGTGGCAAAAGGTATAGAATCTGGAACCTGACCGCTGGCATTGTTAAGTCATTAACTCTCCTCTCTGTGCCTCACTTTCTTCACCAGTAAAATGTGGATCAATATATGGCCTACCTCACAGAGCTGTAAAGAAAAGTGAGCTAATGCCTCAGAGCACTTAGAACAGTGCCTAGTGTGGAGCAAATGCACAGCACAAGTCGACCATGTTGGTGCTAGCCCTCTCATATGACCATCTTGCTGGTCGACTTGTGAGCAGCCTTGTAATGGGATTTTGGTGTTTTCCCTTCACACAGGTCAGAAGAAACCTAAAGATGTTAAGCCTGTGCTGCTTCATATTGTCATCCCTTCCTGCATCATTGCATTAATGTTCATAGTCACAATGATAGCCCTAAAAAAACAGTTCTGCCTAAAGCTGTGTTCTAGAAAAGGTAAGTGAGTTTTATTCATGGTAACCAAGGGGAATAAGTACTTGTAGTGTGAGCCTCGGCTCTGCACTGCAGGCCTGTGGCTTCCCAATTTCACACTAAATTCACTTTGAACTTATGAACCACTTTGAACTCATTTAGTATTCCCCAGAAGAAACTTTAACTTTCCCCAGAAGAAAATAACTTGTCTTCAGTGAGTTGAACTCCTTTCACTGAGTTTTTCAAATGGGATGTTTTAACCCTGTAACTGACATACTTTTCCCTGTTCTGAGCCTCACAACAACATGCAGACCCAAATCACACATCTCCCACAAGTTTCTTTTTCTTTTTTTTTTTTTTTTTGCTATAGGACACGTGCACTTGCCAGAGAGATAGAAAGCAAAAAATTACCCCCCCGGGGGGGATGACCATACCGCAATCCATTCTCTTCTTGGGATCTTGGGCACGCATGCACACGTGCCTGGCGTGAGTTTAAGCCACTTGGTCCAGGACTCGAACTGCGGTTGGCTACGTGGGAGTTCCGCAACATAGCCATTATGCTAACTGCTGGTCCCTTCCCTTTCTCTTTTTGAAAGAGATTTTTGCTATTGGGTGCAGGTGCTCAACAGAGAGACAGAGAGAGACAAAGAGACAGAGAGAGACAAGGAGACAGAAAGCAAGAAGTCACCCACCAGGGGGATTGCCATGCTGCAATCCCTTCTCCTCTCAGAAGTTTGGGCACATCAGCACCCCAGCATGAGTTTTAAGCTGCCTGGTCTGGGACTCAAACTGTGGTTGACTATGTGGTTGTAGTAACCATTACACCACCTGCTGGTCCCATGATTGTTCCCTTTCTACTTATTCTTATAAATTGAGCTGTTCATGCTATTTCTTACCACAAACTTCTCCAGAAGTCAGTGAGTAAAATAAACACAGAAATTAGAGTAGGAGTGTGGGGGTGCTCCAGAGACTCTAAAATGAATGACGGAACAATCCTATTTTTTTTTGCTATAGGACACGTGCACTTGCCAGAGAGATAGAAAGCAAAAAATTACCCCCCCGGGGGGGATGACCATACCGCAATCCATTCTCTTCTTGGGATCTTGGGCACGCATGCACACGTGCCTGGCGTGAGTTTAAGCCACTTGGTCCAGGACTCGAACTGCGGTTGGCTACGTGGGAGTTCCGCAACATAGCCATTATGCTAACTGCTGGTCCCTTCCCTTTCTCTTTTTGAAAGAGATTTTTGCTATTGGGTGCAGGTGCTCAACAGAGAGACAGAGAGAGACAAAGAGACAGAGAGAGACAAGGAGACAGAAAGCAAGAAGTCACCCACCAGGGGGATTGCCATGCTGCAATCCCTTCTCCTCTCAGAAGTTTGGGCACATCAGCACCCCAGCATGAGTTTTAAGCTGCCTGGTCTGGGACTCAAACTGTGGTTGACTATGTGGTTGTAGTAACCATTACACCACCTGCTGGTCCCATGATTGTTCCCTTTCTACTTATTCTTATAAATTGAGCTGTTCATGCTATTTCTTACCACAAACTTCTCCAGAAGTCAGTGAGTAAAATAAACACAGAAATTAGAGTAGGAGTGTGGGGGTGCTCCAGAGACTCTAAAATGAATGACGGAACAATCCTAATTTCCAATCAGAAGTTGGAGAGCAATGAGATCATTCTCCTTCTGAAACAGGGTAGGTGGTCAGTTTGCTGGTGGGGGGTTTCCAGGATCCTCTCTAAGGACTGCTTTTGTTCTCATCCCTCTTTTCTCAATTCTGGATCTGACCTTGTTTAAATCTGCCTTCTTCCTCCCAGGAATCTGAATCACCTTATCAGGTAAGGAATGAAAAAAAGGTTGGTGGGTCCATTTGGGGACAGAGAAAGCACCTGGTAGGTGGTGCCCTTAGGTCTTTCAGCAATGCTGCTTATCCTGCTGTGCACGCAACAACCCACTCTAGTCCATTGTGCCAGCTGGGGCAAAGGAGTAGCTTTGAGCTCTGTACCTTTGAGCCCCAGACAGAGGATTCAGTTGGTTGCGTGTCTGTCTTTGGTTTCCTGGGAGGAGCCTGCCCACAAAATCCCCAGGGTGTATGCAGGTCTATCTGGTGCTTTCCTAAACTGTCGCTTTGTCAGCACCCAGTAAACTTTTCCCTGTAATCTATATATGACCTCGTCTACAGAAAAGGAAATAACACTTGGGAATAATTCAGTTGGAGTTTGGGCCAGTATTATTTGAGGACTTGGGATGGAGGAGGGAAGAGAAAGACAGGGTAAGGAGGTTGCTTTCCTACACTTATGGCCATAGCTTCTACAGTCTCACCTGTCATGAAATACTGTCATATTTATTTGTCTATTACCCTATGTGTGCAACAGCTTGGGTGCTGGCCACCAGCCCACTCACTGTAGAATTCAAGAAGTTATTGTAAAAAGAGAAAGCAAGAGGGTAGGAAGAGAGGAGGAGAGAAGCAAAGGGAGAAGGGGGAGAGAGAGAAGGTGGGGGTGGGTTTGGATAGGGAATAAAAATGGAGAGGAAGGGAGCTTAACAGTGAAGGAAGAGAAATTACTGGATTGTATAATAGAATGTTGACTTGGGGACCAGCATTTAGTGTAATGACTAAGTCGCTAAACTCCTGTGTAGTCGACCGCGGTTTGTGTCCTGGACCCGGTGGCTTAAAACTCATGCTGGGCGCGTGTGCATGCGTGCCCAAGATCCCGAGAGGAGAATGGAGGAGAAGGGATTGCAGCGTGGCCATTCCCCCTGGGGGGTGATTTCTCGCTTTCTATCTCTCTGTCTCTCTTTGTCTGGCCAGTGCACGCGCCCTATAGCAAAAACCTCTCAAAAAAGAAAAAAAAAAAGAACGTTGACTTTAAAAAAAAAGAATGATTTATTTAATTTTATTTGTTATTATTATTATTTTTTAATTTGGTACAGAGTACGTGAATTTACCAGAGAGAGACAGACAGAGAACAGAGAGAGCAAAAGTGAGAAAGTAAGTCGCCAGATCTGGGACTCAAACCATACTCAGCCAGGTGGGAATCCAGCACCTAAACCACCACCACGCCACCTGCTGGCCTGAATTTTGACTTTTAAATAGGGTCACTTCTGAAAATCTATGATTTTAGAGGGTTGTGGCAGATACAGCTCATTAAGTCTTATCCACTGCCATTCTTCTACTTCCCTGTTGAAACAGTTTCATGACTTGCAGAAACAGCTTAATACCTCAGCCTGAGGTCCCAAGCCACAGTGGACATTTGCATTTCTCTAGTCAATTAATTTGAACTAACTTCTTATTCTGTCATATTTTAGTTTATAAACAGCACAACTTTCTCATTAATCTTATTTCTGGTATTTTTGTTCCAGACACAACAGAAAGATCTAAGTGAACAGAGCTGTGAGTAAGCATTATAGCTTTTCTTTTTCACCTCCTCTCCACCCCGCCCCAGCTTGAAATAAGAAATAGTCACTGTTCTGTTAATTTACAAAGGGCAACTGGATAGTTCTTGTTAATACAAAACCTTCTTGGTGGCATTTAAGCTGAGGCTTGTTCTTGCAGTCCTGTATTGTTCCATACCCTTCTTGGAGAGCAAAGATGGTGGGTGCTGTACAGCCCCCAGAAAAGTCATATTATCTTCCTATGAACTCCTACAATGTACTGCACGGGTATTCTGGGCACCATAGTTAGAAACATGTTGAGGCCAACATGTAGCATAGTGATTAAGGTGTTGGATTCCCACATGGTCAATCACGGTTTCAGGTGTTGGATTCCCACATGGTCAACCACGGTTTTAGTCCCACACCTGACAGCTTGAAACTCATACCAGCTGCATGTCTGTGCATGCCCAAAAATCCTGAAAGTAGACTGGAGGAGAAGGGATTGCAGCATGGCCTCCACAACCACCCTCAGGTGAGTGATTTCTCACTTTCTCTCTCTCTCTGTCTCTCTGGTGAGCACACACACCCTATGCCAAAAATCTCCTTAATAAATAAATAAATAAATAAATAAAGTCTACTAATTTTAAAATAAATAAAATATAACAATTATCGGGCCATCAGGTGGCATGGTGGTTAAGTGCACTGGACTCCCATATGGCCAACCAAGGTTCAAGTCCCAGGCCTGGTGGCTTGCTTTCTCACTTTCCTTTTCTCTCTCTCTCTTACTCTGTCCCTCTCTGGTAAATTTAAATAAATAAGTAAATAAAGTTAAATAAAATAATTGTTAAAAAAATAACAGCTATCACACACCACATGAATGCTTTGAAAATTCATATTATACCCACAAAGATGTATAACAACAAAGATGTAAATAAAAACTTATAAAATAAAACAGAACTGTAACAGCAAGAAGATATTTAACTGTGTTGCAATCAACAGCTGATATCTTTGCAGCAATGATTAAGCACAGCATCTGAGGCTGTAAGTTAAAAGCAATACCAGTAGAAGCCTCTTCATGAGTTTGACAGGCTTGGAGCTGGAATATGTAGAAGAGAAAGGAACTGATGTGGAGATCAGAAGTAGGATTGCTAAAAGCACTCAGGTTGGTTGAATGGCAAACTTAGACCCTGTGGAAGCAGTATATCGGGGTCAAACAGGCCTGGATCATGTTGGAAAATGGATATTTCTGGCTTGAGAAAAGCTGCCTTCCCTTTTGCAATGTAGAAATCACATGGTCTAACATATGAATTTGAGTTCACCATAATGATCATAGGCATAACAAATTTCTAAATAACCTTGCATCTGCTACTCAGAATATTACAAACTATACATTTTAGAATTCTGCTTAATATAGCGCCAGAATTCCAGAGGTATCAATTATGAACACAACCCTAGAAAACCTTCAAGTTCCAGGGTCTGGAATTGTGATACAGGAACCACTCAATAGTTAGAATTTTTATTTTTACTTCTGTTCTTCGAGCTTTTAAAATGATACAAGAAAAATAATACATGGTATTTATTGACCATACATAACAGGAATTATAAGAATTTTGCATACGTTATTTAGTTCTCAAATAGGCACAAAATGAGTAAAAGGAATGGAATTGGCCTCGCATTCATCCCATTTTCCACTACGGATCTGAAAGTCTGTCTTCAATATACATCTTGTCACTGTACACTCATACTTGAACCAAAGAATAAATGTGGTTTAGATCAGAACTATCCTGAAGTCCAATTCCATTAAGTTTCTCTGAGTCGTCAATGAAAATTTCTTGATTCAGGAAAGTTTCAGATTGACACTAGTTGGTCTGATTAAAATAGTTATTTTTTAGGCATTGCATGTCCCCACTTGATATATACCAAGTGTCTGCACTCTATGACTGAAACTAATTGTCTAAAGGTCATAGAAACACAGTATATAGATGTAAATACCAGTATAATGTGTGTGAAAGAGGAGGGTCTGAGGAAGGACGTTTGGGGGAGGGGCAGGGAGGCAAAGCATTAATGGCCCGAAGAGGTGTGGTATTATCTGTTGAAGATATTTCGTAGTTTTATCAACAGTACTAGGGAGAAATGTTCACCTGTTTAAATATCCATTTTGTAAGACAAATAATAATGTGATTGAATGTATGGAAGAAAATGAAATGAAAAAAATAATAAAAGAAAAAAAGTTATTTTTTGAGAATCAAAAAGCCTATGTGCTATAAATGGTCTGCTTGACCTAGAGGTGAGTTTCTAGGAGAGACTGAAACATTTGTCTGAGTTTCAGGCACTTAGAGTCTTTGCCTAAATGACTCAACTGCTCAGTATAGGAAAGAAATGCTGAAAGGCTCTGAGAGCACAGGTGGTAGACTCCTGCCTACCAGGGCCAGGTAGGTGATGAAATGAGTGAAAGGGCTGGTATAACCAAGTAGAGTGGTGAGGATGATGCCCAACTGGAGAGCATACGCCCTGTCAACTCAGCCCTTGCCTATCACTGCCAGAGAAGATGGAAATACAGATTTTCGTATGAAATCTACATGTTATTAAATGCTGGCTGAAAATATTTTAAATATCAAACAAGACAAATTAAATATGCCCATAGGCTAATATGGCCCATGGGATTGCAAAACCTGTCCTGGAAAGAAAGTACTATCAGAAAAAGAGCTTGGGATCTGAGTAATCAGGGCAGACACTTCTATTTGAGGAACTTTCTAGGAAACCTCAATTTTCCTCCTAAGGCCTTTCACTGATTAGATGAGGCCAGCTTACACTGTGGAAGATAATCTGCTTTACTTAAAGTTAATTGATGGTAAATGTTAATCACATATACAAAATACTTTCATAGCAACATCTAGACTATCATTTGACCAAATAGCTGGGCACCATAGCCTAGCCAAGTTGCAGTATAAATTAACCAAGACAGGGACCAAGAGATGATGGAGGGCTTGATGATTTGTCAGACATGCCTGAGCCTCTACAAACAGAAGTAAATAACCATTATTTTGTCTTTGGAGTTGTCCAAGAGGCTAGAAATCTTATTACCCATTCGTGCATGAACCTGCCACCCCAAATTTGCATGCAGATTGTTTGGTGTTATTTTTTTAGTTCGGCAAGATTATTTTCTCAGTTCACCATCTCTCAGGCTTTTAGTAACGAAAAGACATATGTGGTATCGGAATCCACCACTCTATTTTGAAGTAATAAATACATGAGGAAGTCTAGAGGGGGAGGATAGAAACCTATAGCCAATCGAATTTGATAAAATCAAACCAAAGGTTTGGAAATGACTTCTCAGTAAAATGAACAGATTGCATGAAGTAGATTTGACCTATCTAATGTCTTAGTTTCTTGTCAACAACCAATGAGGAATTTAAATACTTTGGAAAGTCCCTTAAAGAGCCAGAACACCGCTACCAGATTTGATCCTTCTACGTGTTATTTCCTTCATCATGTCAATCTCTTGTCTCTATAGACCAGAACCAAATTCCTTTCCAAGGTTTTTCAGGCCTTTTGACAACTAAAATGCCTGAAACTTATTTTACTCAGCAAATCTTATCTGCTAGTGCCCAACAAAAGCTTGCGTTTGAGTTGCCCTACTGATGCAGGAAAAATATGATGCAGGAAGTTGGAGTGCATAGGCCCAACACCCAAGGCAGGAACAGCATTGAACCCAATTCGTTGTCTGACGCTCATAAAGAATTAGGGACGTGAACACAGAGAAGGAATAGCAAAGTGGAGAATATTAAGAGAGGGAAGAGGGACCAGCAGTTAGCATAATGGCTAAGTTGCTAAACTCCCATGTAGCTAACCGCAGTTCAAGTCCCGGACCCGGTGGCTTAAACTCATGCTGGGCGCATGTGCGTGCGTGCCCAAGATCCCTGAGAGGAGAATAGCGGAGAAAGGATTGCAGCGTGGCCATCCCCCCTGGGGGGTGATTTTTCACTTTTTATCTCTCTACCTTTCTGGCGAGTACACACGCCCTACAGCAAAAAACCTCTCCAAAAAAAAAAAGAGAGGGAAGAAAGATCAGAGCTCCCAGTCAGGGAGTGGGTCCCGAAAAATGGGTTGCTGATGAAAAACCGAGGCAAGGGGTTTTTATCTGTGTCAGAGGGGCTTTGTTAGGGCTTCTTGTCTTTATTTAGGCTTGTTCAGTCTCTGAGAGGTTGACCGTATGTGAGAATAGAGAACCAAATTGCAGAAGGGCTGGCTATCATTAAGGGAAGCGGCAGCTCCTTCACAAGCTCAGTGCTGCTCAAAAGGAGCTTACAGGAAGTGAGTTGGCTGTTGAGAATGCCGCTATGGGATGGGGGAGTTGAGCTGTGTTGCGTGAAATCCGAATTTTTAGGTCCAGGAATCTAAGATTAGAGACCTGCCCTGAGATGCAGAAAGAGAAACCACAAACACTGGTAAAGTAGAAGAGAGAAATTTTAATAGAACAGTAAAGACTTCTAATATGAAAGAAATATACTCCCATGCCTGAAAGGTATTTGGGTAAGCAGCTCCAGAGAAGGACAACTGAACTGGGCATGAGGTTAGGTGTTACATTTATCCTGATGTTGGTCATGAATATTTATAGCAGGGAAGGTGTGTCCTAGTACCTGGCCTCTTCGTTTGGTTTCCAGGACTTTTTCCTGCACTTGCATATCTCTCTCAGGTGAGGAATTTAATTATCTAGTTACACACGCCCAGGATGGTCTTTGAAGGAATGAACATCCATATCTGGATGGACTCCCCAATTAGTTTATTGCCCCAGTAGGAATCAGGATGTTGACTTAGTGTCCCATCCCAGTGGTGAATTTTTGTATATATATCTGGGGTAGCAAGAAGGAAGAAAACAACCTTCACAGGGCCAGGAACCAGGTGGGAGGAAGAAGTGGGAGGAAGGGAGTTCAAAGAGAGTCTGATCTCATTTCCTGATAGGCTGTAATTGATTAAGCAAGCCGAAAAACAGCTCTGGTTGTAAACAGCTCTCTGTGAACAA